TATGAGTGTGTGTGTGTGTGTGTGTGTGTGTGTGTGTGTGTGTGTGTGTGTGTGAGAGAGAGAGAGAGAGAGAGAGGGGGGGGAGAAAGGGAGAGAGAGAGAGGGGGGAGAAAGGGAGAGAGAGAGAGAGAGAGAGAGAGAGAGAGAGAGAGAGAGAAAGAGAAAGAGAGGGAGGGAGAAAAAGAGCGACTGTGAACGAAAGGGAGGGAAAGTTCATGCTCACTGACCCACTGATAGTGTATGCTTGAGTTGTATGTATATTCTTGAATGCGTATCATTATTTCTGTGCTGATGCTGAAGTTTTGTTTGTTGATATCCTGGTGATCGACAAAGTGGCGTCGGTGGCCTAGTGGGTAGGCTCTCAGACTTGCAACTTGGGAAAGGCACTTTACATGAGTTTTCCTCACTAAACCCTGGTGGCAACGTGTACCCAGTTATAGACGGCGAAACAGCCTTGTCCATATCCTTCTTGGGTCAAAAGCAGGACGACGTATCTATGTCAGAAATGGTAGATCTAGTTTTCATATGACTGATATGAATAATGTATGTCAAGAGTTCTCAAGTTTTTCTCAATATCATGAAATATACAGTTACGACACTCTGCCTTGGCAAGGCAACACATACCAGTAGCAATAACATTGACAAAAAGGAAAAAATGCTTTTAAAAAACAGGACTCACCAAACTACCAATCAACCACCTTTCCAACGTTTTAGTTTTAGTGGGAGCTTTACGGCACTTGCAACACAGTAAGGTCACATAAGTGCCGAAGATTAGAGGTGTTACAAGAGAGTAAAAAACACCCAAAAAGGAGGGGAGATAGAGACAATAGATTTTTTTTACAGGAAAGAAGGGGCAAATCACACCAGAGCACCCGCCAACCACCCACAACCACCTTTCAATACAATAATGAACACAAATAAAAAGCAAAATACATAACTCAAAAGAAGTGGTCGTTTTCATCTCTATTGGTTTTATTCATCTATTCAGTTAGTAAGTAATAGTAATAAGAACAAAGAGATAGATTGGGGAAAGGCTGCTGCAGTCAAGGGACCGAACCACAGACCACACAGATAGGAGGGCAGTAGCCAGAGTGGTCAATCATGAACATGGGTTAATCATAAACAGGCTTTTATGATATATTTCAATTTGGCAAATTTTTTGACAAATTGAGGACAATTTTCATTTCACTATGTCGCTCTCCCAGACACATTTTTATTCGTTCAGTACAAGGGGAACAAGCAAGACATTTTTCTGCTCATTTCTTTTTTGCTCACACAAACTGGATACGCCAAACGTTCTTCTACTTTTTTGTCCACACCCATGACACTCCCTACCTGGTGTATTTGTCACTTACAGCGAAGCACAGTGCATGAATAAAGTTGGACAAGAGAAGAGAGTGGTAGGAAGCCAATGTGCGTAATTCCAGGAAGAGGAGGGGGAAAACTCACTCAGACGTCAAGCCTACGGTCAAGGTTATATGTCTGTTAGAACAGCGGCTCAGACCAGGGAGTCCTGCATGTCAATTTGGAGAGGGGAAAGATCACTCTTGACATCAGTACCCACCAGAGACTTCCAAAGATTGAGAGAATTAGAAAAAAAAAACAGTCAAAAGAAACCACAGATACGGATAAACATGGATAAAAAATACCAACATGAAAGGAGCATAATTAAATATCATACTTGTCGTCCAAAATAGTGTAGAGTGGACAGTGGCTATTCATCATTTGTTACACGGGTGGACGGAATGTCTGCAAAAAAACTGCCTTAAGAAGCTGAAGTCAGTACAAAAGTAAAACCATACCATTCTCACTCCCATCATCAAAGTATCTCACAAATATACACACAAACACGCTAATCAACACACTCACACTAGTCACACCCAGACACACAAACACACACAGACACACACACAGACACACACACACACACACACACAAAGATACAGTACCGGTATCTGGCACAATGGAGGACTAAACAGGACAAGTTCACAGGAGAAACTGTCAAGAACTCTGGGGACATGCAGGAGATTATAAAAATTGACATTTGAAACAAAAATGTTTCACATCTGAGACTGTTAGTCCACATAGCCCACACAGCACCCACAATGTGGCTTAACGAGAATATCTTTCTTTGCTCACAAGCATTCTTTACTTCACAAACTCCTTGTCCACTTTGAACAATAGAACAACATTGTCGTAACCATTGAGAAGTCCAAACCAGAGGGGGCGTTGTTGAGAGAGGTCGTCAAGTGAAGGAGGCTACAGGCTATACTACTCAGAACTCACACAAGACTCTATAATAGTATCACAGCAATAGCTTTGATGAGAAAACAGTTAGAGACTTTCTTTTTACGACAGAATCATATACCAGCATCCATGTCTGAACTGTGACGGTAGACAGCTCTCTTCCTGCATGCATGCATCCTACCAAAGACCTCACTCAGCGCAAAACAACTAAAAATGAGAGGATAGGGTGAAAACACAAAGAGAAAGTCTTCTCCTTTGCTCTCATTAACTTAGCTCTATCCTTGAAAACCATAACAAATCATAGCAGAATTACTTAATGGTTAAAAACGAAATCAAAACATTCCCAGATAGAGCGATCCTCAAAGAGTCCCCTTCACACCGATAGAGCCGAAAAGTAGTTAATAAAGCACTTTCTTCTCCCTAAAAATTTACAAAATAAAGGATGTTCTTCTAGAGCGAACACCTTTTAAAACCTAAGTCATTTTCATTTGGAGAAAAACTTAAACACACACAGATAAAAAAGCTCACTTCTGTATCTTGTATCTCAATATTTTAAACCCTCGGGAGCTAGATACATTACAGAAGTCTACAGTACGATAAGGCCTCTGATGTGGCATGTCTTGTAGCATTTCAACGTAACAATCACAATAAACACCACTGACAACCATTTCAAGACAGTAATTTATATAAGTAATTATTCATATCTATATATTTATAAATATATATAATAATTATAATATAAGTATAGCACAGGTGTACATAGAAACAACCTCAAAAGTAGGAACGCTACATTTGTGAGGCGCTGCTATGTCACGCATGTCGAGGCAATAGGCACACAGAAAAACTAAGTGCTTACTTCTACATTATGAGAGAAAGAAATAAAACTTCAAAACTTAGAACAGCAGTAAAGAAGTCTGAAGACATGCTTTAAAAAAAAAAAAAAAAGAAAAGAAAAGAAAAAAGAAAGAAAAGAAGAAAAAGAATCCGTTCTCTCCACTCCATTCTTTCAGCACTACTACAAATACAAGTTAAACTAGAACTTTCTCTGTACAACTGCATAGGCAAAAGTGGCTCGGGTAAGAATTATATTTATATGTATTTAGATATCTATATACGCAATACAAGAGGAAAAGGAGAAATCAGATGTTTGCTAAATAGAGTACAACATTAGACGCTCCCTGACTCTAGGAGACTGTGGTAGACGTATGCACACACGCGCCACACACTTACACACACACATACACTTACATATGTGTCAGACATAGAAAAAAACAAACACACACACACACATGCACACACACAAACACCCACACACACACACATACATAAACATGTGTCATGTGTTGTAAATAACACCTCTGTTCACTGGACCATCATAATAAATACTGTCATTTTGACTCGAGAATCATGTTAAATACAGTCTGAATAGTTTTGAAAAACCCTGACAAATGTTGGTTTCCATCAGGGACTAGATCTATGACTAATGTTGTTGTTATGGATCAATCAAGTACTATGACAAAGGCTGTTGCTACGAATCAAGTAGTGTGACAAATGTTGTTATGGATTAAGAACTGCGACAAATGTTGTTGCTATGGATCAAGTACTGTGACTTGCGTTATCAATCAGGAAATGGTACATGACAAATGCCATTATAGATCAAGAACCAAGACAATTGTTGTTATTGAATAAGGACCATAAAAAACAAACTGACAAAAAAAGAACAAATGGTTTTTAACAGGAAGTCATTAAGAATGACAATATAAAAACTACAATATATGCTATCTTGGCACTATTCTCCATAGTAATCCTCTACCAATCATCCACCATGCAACAACACATAATTCTATCAGAGATCACTAGACACATTTAAAAAGCAAACTTTAAGTTTTCTGAATGTGATGACCTGAGAAGGGTATTTCTGAATGTGTTTTTTTTCCTTCCAGACTATTCCCATACCCGGTATAGGAAAATTATTTCAAAATAATATGATTAATCTAAAAAAAGAAAGAGCTACAAGCTAAAAATGCTTTACACAATAATCCTGGCATACACTCAGAGACTGCTCAGCCATACACCATTGGTGTGAGCATCTCACAGACATGACCCTTCCCCAACTCTATGTCAGGGTTAAGGTCAGGACAAGCTATGAGAAAACATGACCACAAGCTCTATCTTTGTCACAGCCATCGAATTTAGAGCTCAGCAAACAGGGAGTCAAATTTGCCCTGAACACAAAGACAACAGAAGAAAATCTTACTCCTACGAGAAAAGAAACAAAATCATAACAACACTTTCACAGGGGAAAAAAGTGCGAAATAAGAATGGCAGACGAAGCAGAAACAAATATAAAAAAACCACTACACTGACCATTCTGAGGAATGTAATTCGCAAAAACAGTCTCACGAAGAGAGGGAGAAAAGTGTCAGTCTCAGGAAGAGAAACTTAAAAGGCAAATGGCTACAGAAAGTATCCTTGAAACAAAACATACATAGTTACAATACCAAGACCAACAAACAAAGTATTGTCGCAGTCATCCAAGTATACAAATACTTATCCATTCAGACATATTTATGACAATGGTAAAGCTAAGGCTTAGCGGTTTGGGGTGGGGTGGGTGGGTGCGAGAGCTGGTGCCGGGAGGGAGGGGGGGGAAATGGGGGAGGGGAGGCCTGGTTGCACGAGGCGGGGAGTAAGGGGGTCATTGTGGCTTCGGAAAAGGGGGAGTGGGCATGGCGATGGGGGGCGGGGGGGGGGGGGGGGGTGTCAGGTCACTATGGTTGTCAGTCATCATCACAGAGGTGGAGTAGGCTAGAGGATGTCCTGAGTGTAGGAGCTGGACTTTGGCGTGGTCACAGAGTAGTCCTCATCACCCAGGTAGCTCCGGCGGCTGCTGTTGTGAACCGAGGTGTCCGTCACACTGCTGTGGAACCTGTCCGAGAAAATATACTCAGTGTTTATAATTAAACACAAAAGAATCAACGCAACACATGAGTTATTTTTTGTTTTTCACCTTCAAGTAGTAGATCTGAAACAGACAACAGTGATCATGGCTCACCACTCATTTCTCTGCTCAGATCTTTTTCAGTCACCCATTCATTCAAGTTATATGAGCGTGTTACTTTTGGTCTAACTCACCTCTTCTGCGTTGGTAGTCAAGTGGTTAGGCCACTGGACTCGTAATTGTGAGGTGGCGGGTTCAGGGGTTCGAGGTGAAGCGTGATGTTGTGTCCTTGGGAAAGGCACTTTACACAAATTTTCCTTACTTCACTCAGGTGTAATAGTCTTGGGTTGTGAACTCTCTACATCTCTTTTCCCAATTTTCTTAAATCGTTTAGCCTCCTGTAGCTCTAATCGTTTATTCCTAAGAAATCCCACAGATAATAAACACTCACCGAACACCCGGTGATCGGCTTCGAGAGCGAGAGCGCGGCCGTGCACTGGGGCTGAATGATCTGCCAGGACTCCGTGACCTCGACCTGACAGGGCTGAGGCCTCGACTGCCAGCGTAGTCGCTGATCATGACAGGTGGCTGGATACCATTGCGACGAAGCTCTTGTACCACACGCTCTCTGAGGAAGGAATAAAAAAATAAGGAAATTTCTTTACATCAAGTCACTAGTAGCTGTATACCCTTATCATTCCATAACAATATCATATACTAATGGAGCTAATGTCTTCGTAAGCCTAAAGACTCAGAAGCCAAAAGATATTTCAAAATTCCGATAACATTAAAAAACAAAGTGCAATCTGGACTATTCATAGTGGTATACTTTTCAGTAATAGGCATTTATTTTTCTTCTTTTGTACCTTTCCAACAATTATATAATGTAGAACCACGATTCCCTCAGGTTATTTTTAGAGGGAAAAGACTGAAACTGAGAAAAAAAACTAGATATAAACACAGAGGCAGATTTTAACAAGTAGGCCAGAAAGACGGACAGAGAGAAAGAGAAATGATTATATACAATTATGTCAACAATGTCGTTATATACTCTACAAAATTTTCAATGCTTATTAAACATTATTCCATTTGTAGAAAGGGGATTGTACTGGTAATGCCAAAAAGCTTTTTAATTCAAAACTGAAGGAAAAAAAATTGATGAAACTTGTCAACCAATACAATATCCACTTGTGGCAATATGACGCTACAAACGACTACAATGGGGAAACACCATCAGAAACTGTTTGTTCAGGTAAAGAGAAGTACATGTACACAATAACAGCTTTTTAGAGAGGGGAGAAAAAGCAGGATAAACAGAAAAAATGAACACTATGAACACTGCAGGAGAAACTGTACAGTCCAACAGATAAAGTCTGAGCAGGCCAGCTCAGTACATGTACATGATAGATACCAGACTTCAAAAGTGATGCAATTGAGAAGAAGAAGAGAAAGAAAAAGAAAAAGAAAGAAGAGTTAACTGATTTCTTCCAGTTCATTGAACCTGCTCAAACAGCCCCCTGTCTAAGACAATCTGTACCTTGCATTTTTTTAAACATCATAATGGCGCATCCAAGACATCCATCTGTGTAGGACAAAAAACTTTTCTCATCAACAATGAGTCTTGGACAATTTCGAGTGTATATGGTAATAGCATAACACCATCAATGCTCGTTATCAGCAGGACGTAGTCAGAAAAAATGTAAAGACACAATGCAAGAACGAAGAATGTTCGAAAAGTTTGACATTACATTGACATTCACTGACCTCTCAAACCTCTCACTGGTGAGCTGTCGTCTAATGCGTTCAATATCACCCTCCAGTTCCACGTTTCTCGTACGCAGAGATGCAACTTCACGGCTCTGACTTTGCCTGTGACAGAAAGGAGCAAAAATTGAAGATCCATACTTTATGAATTGGTTTGTTTGAGTAAAGAGAAACACATCGACACAGTTTCTGCCATTCAGTGCTGGGAAAATGCAAGAAAGACAGACAGAGACAAGAGAAGAAAAAAAAAGTAGGACCTAACAGTGGAGCCCTACAACCACCTGCACATCAGACTACAAAGTTCATGAAAAACAACATCAACAATATAAAAAACTACAACATTAACAATAAGTGAAATGAAAGAAAATAAACGCCAGTTTTAAAACCCTTCTCCTCACCTTGACTTAGTAATTTAAATCATTGAAAAAAGTCAACTCACTTTAGGTCAAGGGGATAAAAATGTTTTCCCCAAACCTGCACAAAGGATGGGATTTGTATCTGGGTCCATAGACCAACAAAGATATTTTTCTTTGTAGACACATAACAGCCCAACATGGAAAACCTTAAAAACACACACAAAACTATTTTTATGAAAGTATTTCATCAAGTATTTCCATCGTTCAGCTGGGACAAGGCATAGGTTGGCCGTAACAGGTATGGTCAAAGAAGTGCATTCCCTAAGCAATCTAAATTTCATCAAGGGGTGCACAAAGCATTCATCCGTCATCCGTCCGTACGTCCATCCGTCCGTCCGTCCGTCCGTACATACTTACATATCTACATACATACGTACATACGTATATACATACATATCTGTCTGCCCCGCTCAATATCAGTTGTAAGACGCACTGTGCTATTATCAGCTAGGAGGCTCGAAAGGCAAAAAAGTGACTTTCCATGAAATTTTTGTTTTTTGGATATATTGAAAGTTTGATGTCTTCTGCTTCATTTAATATAAAAATAAACAACTATAATCGACCATTAATATTTTATTTTGATTTATTTTGGAGGTGTGTGTGGTTTTTTGGGAGCGTGGGTGACGAGATAAAGGAATTTGGACCTTGCTAGTGTGTAGCTGTGAGATTATTTTTCTAACCATAACCTCATGGCCACCTTTGCTTTAACCAACTAGTGGAAAATCTTTGCTGTGAACTTTTTCATTCGCAACTATTTTTAGATTTTGACCCCTTTTCGAGCATGAATGGTTTGAAATATAAACAACTCTGATTGGTAAAACGAAGCAAAAACGGTAACTTCTAACTCACTTCAAGCTTGTTTAAATTACGTAAACAGCTGACAGTGTGGGCATGCCCTGCTAGCTGCCATCGTATGTCGATCTTTCAGTTTTACACATGGAGAGACTTTTCAAAATTCGTTTTTATGATGTTTTAGAGCTTTTAAAAGATTAACTCACTCACTGCCAGGCATTTCTCTGAAGGGTAACTGAGGAATGCCAGGCTTTCGGGACCATTTTCAAAACCTCACTGTGAGCTTATTATTTTGTGTACAGCATTGACCTTTTCCACAAACAATGACATTGAAACATACTCAACAATTCAAAAAAAATGTTTGTGATACCTTTATCGTGTGAAATTTTATGAGTTTGTGAATATGTGGCAAATTAGGGAAAAAAACTTTTACATAACATTTAGGTGCTTGGTACATTCAATCGATATGCATGCCTTTATATCTTTGTCTCTGCAAGAAATAGACGTTGTATCAACTGACAAAATTTGAAGAGTCACTATGAAAAGATATCTGACAAATTTTATATAACTGGAATATCATTCAAGTCATCAGTCCACCCATCCTGAGCATCAACATCAGGATGCGTGGTTGCAGGACGGGGCATGGCCACTGGGGGAGGGGTTCCACTATTTGAAGTTTGTTATGTAAACCTAGGAGGGTCTATGTCCACTGTATTCCTATCATTTGGGGTCTAAATCTACGTTGTGTGATCTTTTGACGTTCGCGTGACGGGCCTGAACTGAGACCGAGAAGCATCGGATCATTGGTCTGAGCATGGGGAACACCCGATTCTAGATCTAGGCCTAGATCTAGCACAATTTTCATCTTCACTTGTGTACGCACCTCTCCTATTTCCTTTCCTATACTCCTCAACTCTGTATGATGGTTCATCATCACTATCATCTGCAAAAAGATCTAAATCTGACTCTTTATTGACGAATGGGTCCGTCAATTCATATGTTCCGACCTCGTTGAGACGCCATCACTATCGTAACTGAGCGTTAGTAGTTTTTAGTTAGTTTCGGGTGAGTTCGAAAAAGTCCGAACTTATTCAAGGGAAGTTACTGCAACAATGCGGAATCGAAACTAAACAGGCTTATGTCGCCTACTTCCGACTGCCAAGCCCGAAACACGTCGGGGAATGTTTGAAAAATAGTAGTAAAAACGCACCTGACGGGTTTCGGGTTTGGCAGGCAGCGGTCTACGCGGATCACCCGACAGGGTTCGGGCATGGCAGTGAGTGAGTTAATTAACCTTCCTTTAGATCTCTCAGAGCCAAGACGCCACCGAGGTGGTCAATGAGCATGTGTGTTTGTGTGTATTGGTATATACGTACACATGAAAAAAACGACAGCAAGAAGACAATTCTCCAAGCCCAAAACACAGCAACTCACAATTTGCTCTCGTTGAGCGAGTGCCTGTCCTTGAGCATCTGTATCTCTGTGTTCTTCTCTTGTGTGGACAGCTGGGTTTGGAACTCCTTCTCTCTGTTGTCCTGTAGCACACCCTCTAGGTTCTTTACCGAGTCACGCTCTTGGTCAATCTGCGAGCGCAGCAGCTCCGACTCCTGGCGCAGGTCAGTGATTAGGTTCTGGAACTGTTGACGAGGGGGAAACACAAGAGAATAAAAAATAATACATAAATTACATTTTATTGATTGATCTCCGAGGAGAAATTTAGGTTAAAATGGCAAACATACAAGCATAAAGACATGATTATAAATACATACATACGTAAAAACATACATAAATACACTATATTTCACCAATACAGAACAATTTTATAAACATGCCATTGCTGTCCGTCACTGTTCAGCGCCCTGGTTTGGGGGGGTTTTGGGGGTTTTTTTCAGCTAGGGTTGTCAAGTCTTGCTCAAGGACACACCCCAGTGACCACCCACTTAAGCCAGAGTTACTGACACTTGCTTGACATTACTTTGAAGTCTGAAGTCACAATTCATTTTGCCACTGGGGCCCTAATGATTGAAAAACAGTAAATGCTCCTGACTAAATGATTGCAGAGTTTGTAAATGATTGTAATCCTATCCAAACGGCTCCTGGCTACTTCCAAATCCAGCCCAGCCCTATCTTATCTAGGACAGACCGGTTCAAATCTGGTTACTGTCCTATACAGGACTGACTAGTTTACATCTTCTTGCTCACTCACTCACTCAATCCTCATCCTCCTCCACAACCCTGATCTTAGGATCAGTAAGACGAGAACCAAATCTTCTCAGACAAGAACAAAATAATCTCAGGTGTACTGTGTACACATATAATGATCCATTGATGACTGAAAATAATGGAATAGTAAGCCGTTAGCCACCATCCGGAGAAAAATTCAAAATTCTCTACTAACCTGCTCCTTATCCAGCTCTGACGCAGCCAGCTGCCTGTTGATGCTCTCCTTCGTGGTCTCCAGGCGAGAGCACAGTTCCCGGGCGGCCGACACATCGGACAGCAGCGCTTGTTTGTCGTCCTCTGTCACACGAAGGTTCTCCTCCAGGTTGGCCACAGAGCGCGTCAGGTTCGAGACCTGGATCTCGTAAGCTTGGTGAGATTGCAGATGCTGGGAAGGAAGGAAAGTTGGGGGATGCAAAACTTGATGACAATTTTGTCAAGTGTGATAAACTAAGATAAAATATGTAAGATATGATATGATGAGACATACAAGAGGGATACTCCACTGAAAAAAATTGACACTGTGATTTTATCAGCTTCTGCAACACAAAATATACACACAAGGTGTCATTTAAACACATGACATTCCCCTTCTCTCATTCTCCCTCCTTCCCTTTCCATTCCTTATCATCTCTCTTCCTCACTCTCCCCTTTCTCTTTCCATTCCTTATCATTTCTCTTCCTCCCTCCCCCTGTCCCTCTCTCTCTCTCCCTCTCTCTCTCTCTCTCTCTCAAACTGGTATTTCTCCCCTACTCCTCACCTCCTGAATCTCTCGTTCCAAGGTGTCAACTTTGTCTCGCAACCGCCGGATCTCAGAATCTTTGGTCATGAGCTCCAGACGAAGATTCGAACCCTCACTCTCCAGCTGATGGCTGGCAGTCTGGTACTGCTCTGCCTCCACGGACAACTTGCGGTACTGATCCAGCAGATCTGTCCTCTCTTGTTCCTGGAGGGAGAAAATTTTGACATTGCTGAGGCAAAGAAATATCAAGTCATCAGTACATAAATGAAAGAACCAGCTGATCACAGCAGAATATACATCCATGCTACAGAACTCATCAAACAAAGAAGCTGTGCCTTCATTTCAGACAGACACAAAGATGTAGAATTTTGGAGGGAAAAAAAACACACAAGGCTTGAGAGATGTATAGAGAGATGGACAAACAGAGAGAAAGAGAGAAGGAGAGAGGCAGAAAAAGAGAGAGAGAGGAGAGGGAGGGAAGGGGAGGGAGAGGGAGGGAGAAAAAGAGGGAGAGAGAGAGAGAGAAGAAGGAGAGAAAGAGAAGGAGATAGAGAGGGAGAAAGAGAGAGAGAGAGAAATAAAGAGACAGACAGAGACAGAGAAAGAGAGAGAGAGAGAGAGAGAGAGAGAGAGAGAGAGAGAGAGAGAGAGAGAAAGAGAGAGAGAGACATAGACAAAAAGACAAACAAAAAAAGAGAAAGAAAGAAAACAAAATGTGTCCTCACCTTGGCACTGAGAGCGTCCTCGATCCTGCGCACCTCCAGGATGTACTGCTGCACCTGTGTCTTCAGAGACTCCTTCTCATCCATCACATCCTCCAGCTCCTGGTTCACTTTCTGAAAAACACACACAGACATATGATACTATTACTTGTGTGCGCATACTTCAACACACATCACAAAACATGTACACACACCCACATTCACACAGACGTACAGACATACAAACACACACACACACACTCACAAAAATACACACACAGACACACATAAGCATAAATACGACTGTATATATAAAACACTCACACAAACAACATCATTATTGCTAGTCTGATAAATAGTAACGACTGAAAAAGAAGATTCAAAGAAAAACGACTAGTTGCTGGGAAAAATATTGAGAACTACCGAGTTTACTTCATATGTTCTTATTTACTCCTGCCTGTCTGTCCCTATACAGCTGCTTTACCAAAAGTGTCACCAGTATAGTGACTACAGCTCTTTGTAAGATAGCACTCATGGACAAAATTGGGTTCAAATAAAGGTGGACTCCCCATTTTGAACTGCTTTTTAAGTACATTTAACAGCACTTGCAACACAATAAGATCATATAAGTGTCCTAAAATGGACATTTACCCGAAATCAAACAAGCCAAACAGTAGATCAGGACAGACCAAACACTACAACAGACCATCAGTCTCACTATTTTGTGACTGACCTGGTTCTCTTTGGTCATGACCGCCAGGTCGTCCTGCAGTCTCCGGTTCTCCCGTCCTGTGACGTCCTTGGTGCGGGACGTCTCCGTCAGATCCTCAGAGACAGACTCCAGCTGCCGACGCATGCTCTTCAGCTCCCGATCCTTCAGGTTCAGGTTCTCATTGGCGTGTCTGAAGGAAAGTGGGACCGGTGATTGACGGTTAATGTTTCATAACAACAAAAACAATGCTCACACCCACACTCATAAACACAAACACATACAAACGCATGTAAGCACGTACGAATGCACACATACACTCACACACACACACACACACACAAATACACACACAAAGATACTACTCGTCTTACACACTCAGCAGCACATTAGGACCTAATTTAGGAGGCAGGCTGCGTCTTCCCTGTTTGTCAGGGCTAACCCAAACTGAGTGGGATGTAGTATCCCAGCAGAAAGACTTTCTTAGTTAGGTACCAGTATCACTAAAGTTAAAGAATACAAAACCATCAATGAGTTATTGGACAAATGGAATAAATAACCATAGCTGGAGATGCTGTTTTATTCTGATTTTTCAGAAAAGTTGATTTTCTAGACAATCTTTTTTGCCCAGCACAATGAATTCAAACTGACAACTTGTCATAATGCACGGGTAAATACAAGCACATCACATGCAAACTTACTCTAGTTGAGCCTCAATTTCTCCTATTCTCAATTTGAGGTCACCGATGTACCTTTCCTGAAGACAGAAGGAAAGAAAAAGTGTGTCATAAGCAGGTGTAGTATACATATGTAGCACCAACAATACATATTTGCCCTAAACTCTCATTATTGAATTCAAACTTTATGTGAAATACAAATTATTACAGAAATGATCAACTAAACAGGCACAAAAAGAAATGCTGCTTGCCACAGTAAGATCTAAATGAAAATTTTCACAAAAATAAAAAACAACAAGAACGAAAACTTGTTGACATACTTCTAAAAAATCTTCCAAACCTACAATAATCACGACCTGCTTTCAGTGAGCACCGATGTCTATATTGACTTTACTCCTTCCATGCCAGTGGAGTTTCTATGGTTGTACTAAACAAGCATATTGTTAATGCGACAGGTAGGAGGTGGTGCTGAGAGAGGCCAGTTACTGAACTTACTTTATCAAATATGGTATTGGTAAGAATGTCACGTCTTAAGTGACCGTTGTAGACAAGTTCTAGTGTTCCAAACCAACAATACATCTTGGATATGGTATGGAAAGAGTCAAGTTCAACACAATGTGACGTGACACTGTTAAATGTTACCTTCATTTTCCCCCCTTCACTTAATAAGACGTGAAAAGTTTCTGTTCTGAGTTACCCTATCATGTAGGTGACTGTTGAGCTGCGCATTTTTCTCTGTCTTCTCATCCACCGCTGACTGGAGTACATCCTTCTCTCTATCCATTGCTGACAGATTGGTCCTCAGGACGTCAATCTCTTCCTTTTGAACCTGTGATGAAATCCCACATGCAAACAAAATATTTTATATGACAGTCACATATACAACATCTCAAACATAATTTTTCAAAAGTGAAGAAACAAAGAAAAAGATATCTCCAACTAACTGCTAGCACATTAACTCATTTTGGCATGAACAGCACAGCATGCCTCCATAGACTGATATACCTTGAGAGACTGATATACCGTTGAAATAGCATGGCTCCTGTCTGCTGTAACAACAAAGCGTACATCGCCTGGTTAATCCTATAGAACCATTCCACCCATTTCCCAGAACTACTTTTCAATGCATTAAACTCCTGCACGACAACCAAGGGAAGCAACTGCGACATTCTCTTCTATTGTTAGGCGTTTTTTCAGTTGTTTTGGCATAGTTTTGACCCACAGCTGCTGCCATTTTGGTAAACGTAAATTAATGTGGGCTAAGTTGGTCAGAGTAAATGAACGTGAAAGAGTTAAGAGACAGGTTTGATCCCACCCATTGATTCATGGTCCACTCCACAAATACGAGCATGACCTGACCCTCTGACCCCTTTGCACATGTGGTTAACAGTTACCTGAGAGACCCTCTGAAGATCAAGGACTCTCTCCTCCAGTGAGTTGACCCTCTCGCCCTGGCTGTGCAGCTCTTCCTCCCGACGCGTCAGACGACGTGTGGCGTCCTCTAACGTCTTCTCCGTCTCCTCCACCAGAAGCCTGCCGAAGCAAACAATATCATTTATCTCTTCACATTGAACACCGGTCTCTTGTGAAACGCCTAAGATATTATCCCCACAGCTATTGAATAGTTAGAACATTAAAGTACTTGTTCAACAGAACGATCCAAACAATTTGGTCGCATAAGTGCCAACTAGAGATGGTCATAGACCTAGTATAAAACTCCCCACGTCTTAGAGAAAAGAAAAAAAAACCCATACATTTCTAAAAGCTTACTTGAAGTTGTAAACTTTTATTTCAGATTTTCAAAGCTATGTTTCACTTTTTCTTCTCTATTTTCTTCATATTGATTGAAAGAATTGTAGAGAAATAAAAAGTTCAGACTGCAAAAATCACTTCTATTGTCAATGCATGAGCCAGAGGTCCACCACGCAGAACAAGATGAGCTGCCAACATCAAGAGGTGGAACTAACATTAAACTTTTTAAAAACAGATACAGCAAAAGTAAAGTTTTAAAAACAAGTGATGTGAGGAGAGAAAATGTCTCTCCTGCCCCCGCCACTCCCCCACCCCCCTCCTCCATATTCCAGTCTGTCCTTGTCCCTCTCTCCCTCCCTTCTCCTCCCATCCCTCTCTCTCTCT